GTCCTCACAGGGAACTTTACACCTTCTTTCATCTTCCTGGAGCTGATTGTTGGCTGAGTCCTTGCCATTTTGGCTATTCTTCTATCCATTGGAATGGTAGTTTTTTCGCTTTCTTCCACGTCTTTCAGGTTTTGGCTGCCATTTTAAAGCATTTGTGATCATTTTATTTGAGCAGCCTATCATTTTCTGCACTTCTTTATATGTTTTCCCCTCTCCAATCAACTTTTTAATCAAGGTACGCTGTTCTTCTGAACAATGCCTGGAACGACCCATTTTCCTCAGAATTTCAGAGAGAAATGCACTGTAACCAGCATGTACAACATTTGCTGCCTTCCTTCCTTAAATAAGGGCAATAATTGCCACCTGTTTTTCAAAGAATGAATGACCTCACTAATAGAACTCCACACTGCTATTATTGCCCCTTTCAATTAGTGATTCAATTACACAGAATCAGCAGCATGCATGTCATGACTGTTGGGTCTGTTAGATTTCTATTACTCTACTACACCTGCTAGTAAATTATTTGCCATGTAGAAATATCATTTCTACCAAAAACAGTGATTGATCAGGTTAGTGATGTCTGACTGCTATTATTTTGAACACAACTGTACATTTTCTTCTGCCAGACTGGCTCACAGATAGACCCCCACCTCCTTATGCATTTCATCCTGATTGGGTTTTATCATAAGTGGGAGCCATCAGTGAGTCAATCTTTGGATAACTTCCCTCCAATCGCCCATCCAAGTGGAAGTGGGAGCGGGTAACTGTCAAAGCTAGGTGTCAAAAAATGCAAGTTTCCAAAGGTAGGTAGGTGTGTGTGTGTGTGGGGGGGGGGGGATTTGGGAGGAGCTGGCAAGTGGAACTTCCCTTTTATATGACATTCGCTTTACATTAACCCAAGGTTCACATATGTGCGGGTGGTGCCGCTGCGGATTGGCACGAAAATCTGTGCAGCCGCACCATCCACACAGAGAATTGTGTGGACCCACGGGCAGGTGCCATTAGTTCTAATGGCACGCCGCCCGCACTGGAAAACGCAACCGTACTTCTTCCCTGCGTGTCATGAGCATGGAAGTCCATTTAAATGAATGGGCTCGTGTGCCCATGCAAAACGCAGCCTGCATGGCCGCATAGATGTGAACCGGGGGTCAGTCGTTTCGGTGAAACGCATCATACGAGGAGGTTCTAAGTGGAGATACCATGATGATTTTTCAGATACAATAAAGTTACATCCACCTTAAATTTGACCGCCACAAGCTTTTCTTTCTTGGATTCTATCATTAGGTGATTATTTATAAGTATTCATAGATATTAGTATAAAAAGGTTTGTTAGGAAAAGCAGCAACTTTCCAGAGCGCTCATCACATCTCCGATAAAAGAATTATCTCCATAACTCCCAACAAATACAAACACTCTGGAAGATTATTCCGACTCATTACAAACTAATAGACGCTTCGTTATGCTGATTGAGTCTCAAATTACCCTCCAATGTTTGGAGAACAACATGTCTCGTCTACAGGAGAAAATCACTTCTGTCAATATTTGTTTAGGTACAAATTCAAATCAACTGAGAAAGAATTAACTGAAGAGCTGAGAGGTGAATGCAGAGACGGGGGACAGTGAATGACAAAAAATGTACTGAACAGAGATACGTTTTTAATGGGCTTAAAGCTGAACTCCAGGATAAGTAAATATTGTCTGAATATAATACGATTTGTGTATTCTTCCCTGAGACTTGGTGTACTTTGTGTATTTTTCCCAGATCTGTGCAGTAATCCAGTATGAAACTGACTCTGTGCAGGAGCTTCCTGTAATAAAGACCGGTCACTGCTGCTCTGTGTTTTTGTGCAGGGTGACTGGTCTTGTCTCCGCCCTACTATCATTTTCTTTAGGCAGCCTGTAGTGGGTGGGGCCTGCTGAGTCCCTCCCACAGCTCTGCTCTCTGCACAGTGATGATGCCACTACTACTTTTACAAGGTAATATCTGACCTTGCAAAGGCGTTCGGTGTATGCAAAGTGGATTTACAGTTGCAAGAAAACGTATGTGAACCCCTTGGGATTACGTGGAGTTTTGCATGAATTGGGCATAAAATGTGCTCTGAACGTCATCTAAGTCACAACAATAGAAGAACACAGTCTGCTGAACATAATACTACACAAACATTAGATGTTGCCATGGTTTAATTGCACATAACATGTAAACATTCACAGTGCAGGGAGGAAAAAGTATGTGAGGCCCTAGCTTAATGACTTCTCCCAGAGCTAATTGGAGCCAGGAGTGAGCCAACCTTGACTCCAATCAGTGTGATGATATTGGATGTGTTGCTGACAGCTGTCCTGCCCTTAAAAAACACACACTGTTTTGGGTTTACTGGTTTCAAGAAGCACTGTCTGATGTGAACCATGCCTCGCAGAAAAGAGCTCTCAGAAGACCTACGATCAAGAATTGTTGACTTGCATGAAGCTGGAAAGGGTTACAAAAGTATCTCCAAAAGCCTTGATGTTCATGTGTCCACGGTAAGACAGACTTTCTACAAATGGAGAAAGTTTAGCACTGTTGCTACTCTCCATAGGCGTGGTCGTCCTGTAAAAATGACTGCAAGAGCACAGCGCAGAATGCTGCATGAGGTAAAGAAGAATCCCAGAGTGTCAGCTAAAGACCTACAGAAATCTTTCGCACATTTTTGTTGACACATCTACAATAAGGAAAACATTAAACAAGAATGGAGTACATGGGAGGACACCACGGAGGAAGCCATTGCTGTCCAAAAAGAATATTGCAGCACGTTTGAAGTTTGCAAAAGAGCACCTGGATGTTCCACAGCACTACTGGCAAAATATACTGTGGACAGATGAAACCAAGATTGAGTTGTTTGGGAAGAACACACAACACTATGTGTGGAGAAAAAAAGGCACAGCACACCAACATCAAAACCTCATCCCCACTGTATAACATGGCGGAGGGAGCATCATGGTTTGGGGCTGCTTTGCTGCCTCAGGGCCTGGACGGATTGTTGTCATTGATGGGAAAATGAATTCCAGAGTTTATCAAGACATTTTGCAGGAAAACGTACGACCATCTGTCCGCCAACTGAAGCTCCACAGAGGATGGGTGATGCAACAGGACAATGACCCAAAGCATACAAGTCATTCAACAAAACAATGGCTGCAACAGCACAGAATACGCCTTCTGGAGTGGCCCAGTCAGAGTCCTGACCTCAACCCGATTGAAATGCTGTGGCATGACCTTAAGAGAGCGATTCACACCAGACATCCCAAGAATATTGCTACACTGAAACACTTTTGTGAAGAGGAGTGGTCCAAAATGACTCCAGATCGTTGTGCAGGTCTGACCTGCAACTACAGGAAACGTTTGGTTGAGGTTATTGCTGCCAAAGGAGGGTCAACCAGTTATTAAGTCCAAAGGTTCACATACTTTTTCCTCCCTGCAATGTGAATGTTTACATGTTATGTGCAATTAAACCATGGCAACATCTAATGTTTGTGTAGTATTATGTTCAGCAGACTGTGTTCTATTGTTGTGACTTAGATGACGTTCAGAGCACATTTTATGCCCAATTCATGCAAAACTCCACGTAATCACAAGGGGTTCACATACTTTTTCTTGCAACTGTATATCCTTTGTGGCTATTGAGGGATATGTTTCAATTAAGGTTTTTGTGTTCAGCGTTCAGTTTTAACCAAAGAGCAACAAAGAGAACAAAGAGGTAGGGACTGGTGAAATGACAATAAAAATACAGAACAGAGGTGTGTTTTTACCAGATTTAAGAAATAATTCTATCAAAGACGCAGGTTGCTGTCTCACACAGAGGTTCTTTTTGCTCCATTGCTAACAGCCATCTATTGCTTACCTCGTAATGAGTCTGAAACCAATTTGGGTGGTGTCTGCATGTTCTCAGGTTGTAGAAAGGTATCCACAGAAACAACGGGCAGAATACAAACTTCATGAAGATAATGCCCCCTATAGTAACTGATTTCAAGGCCCCAGTGCAGAAAGGCACATCTGCTAAGGCTTGGTTCACGTCTGTGTGGGTGGTGCCGCTGTGGATCCGCACAAAAGTGCCTGCAGCCGCACCACCCACACAGAGCAATGTGGGACCCGCCGGGTGCCATTAATTCTAATGGCACACCACCCACACTGGAAATCACAACCGTACTGGGAACCGAAGTTCCCGTGCGGGCTGTGTTTCCTGAAGAAGTACAGGGACTTATTCCCAGGGCACGGGAGTCCATTTAAATGAATCGGCTCTTGAGCCTGCGCAAAACATGGCCTGCACGGCCACATAGGTGTGAACCTGGCCTTAAAGTGTTACTAAACCCTGGACCCTGCATTCACTATATCTGGTCTCCCCAGACCCTGCATTCACTATATCTGGCCTCCCCGGACCCTGCATTCACTATATCTGGTCTCCCCGGGACCCTGCATTCACTATATCTGGTCTCCCCGGACCCTGCATTCACTATATCTGGTCTCCCCGCACCCTGCATTCACTATATCTGGTCTCCCTGGACCCTGCATTCACTATATCTGGTCTCTCACAGTACACACAACATGGAAATGCAATTATTTTAGTAAATATAAACTGCTAAATTCCTTTTCTCATCAGCAGTATAGAGCAGTCTTGTGACTTCTATCAGTGTCCAGCAGAGCACTAGTTAAAGCTTGTAGGAGGAGTTTTCTTTCTGCTCTTGGAGGAAACCAAGGTTCCCGTGCGGGCTGCGTTTCCTGAAGAAGTGCAGGGACTTATTCCCAGGGCACGGGAGTCCATTTAAATGAATCGGCTCTTGACCCTGCGCAAAACATGGCCTGCACGGCCGCATAGGTGTGAACCTGGCCTTAAAGTGTTACTAAACCCTGGAACCTGCATTCACTATATCTGGTCTCCCCGGACCGTGTATTCACTATATCTGGTCTCCCCGGACCCTGCATTCACTATATCTGCTCTCCCCGGACCGTGCATTCACTATATCTGGTGTCCCCGGACCCTACATTCACTATATCTGGTCTCCCCGGACCCTGCATTCACTATATCTGCTCTCCCCGGACCCTGCATTCACTATATCTGGTCTCCCCGGACCCTGCATTCACTATATATCTGGTCTCCCCGGACCCTGCATTCACTATATCTGCTCTCCCCGGACCCTGCATTCACTATATCTGGTCTCCCCGGACCCTGCATTCACTATATCTGGTCTCCCCAGACTCCTTATTCACTATATCTGGTCTCTCCGGACTCTGCATTCACTATATCTGGTCCCCTCGGACCCTGCATTCACTATATCTGGTCTCCCTGGACCCTGCATTCACTATATCTGGTCTCCCTGGACCCTGCAATCACTATATCTGGTCTCCCCAGACTCTGCATTCACTATATCTGGTCTCCCCAGACTCTGCATTCACTATATCTGGTCTCCCCAGACTCTGCATTTACTATATTTGGTCTCCCCAGACTCTGCATTCACTATATTTGGTCTCCCCGGACCCTGCATTCACTATATCTGGTCTCCCCAGACTCTGCATTCACTATATCTGGTCTCCCCGGACCCTGCATTCCCTATATCTGGTCTCCCCGGACCCTGCATTCCCTATATCTGGTCTCCCCGGACCCTGCATTCACTATATCTGGTCTCCCCAGACCCTGCATTCCCTATATCTGGTCTCCCCGGACCCTGCATTCACTATATCTGGTCTCCCCGGACCCTGCATTCACTATATCTGGTCTCTCACAGTACACACAACATGGAAATGCAATTATTTTAGTAAATATAAACTGCTAAATACCTTTTCTCATCAGCAGTTGGAGCAGTCTTGTGACTTCTATCAGTGTCCAGCAGAGCACTGGTTAAAGCTTGTAGGAGGCGTTTTCTTTCTGCTCTTGGAGGACATAAAACCTCTGACCCTCTGTCTGGGCAGTGCTAATTGGCCCTGTGCTAATCACATGCACCTTCCCAAAAGAGAAAAAAAAAAACCTCTCTAGCAATACACACCAAACTGAGCATGTGCATGTGACCACGGGTTCAGTCTGTATCAGGTGGACATTTCAACAAGAGGAGGGCAGAGAAGACAGGATCAAACAGCCTTTTTTACACAGTGCAGAGGATTAACCCCTTAGGTTCCACAGTGAGTATAACAAGCATGCTTTACTGCATATACAGACTGATTTTACTGTTGTGGGTTTAGTAATACTTTAAGCCATCCATAGATGGATGGAATCTTGGTTGGTTCAGCAGGGACCAGCCAAGATTTACACCATCTATGGGCAAGTCGATCCATCGATCAACTGAGGCACAACCATCCTGTTTGGTGTTTTCCTGTGATTACTGCTGGCAGTTATAGCCAATAGCAGCAATCATTGTGTTCTGCTGGCCAGGAAGGCTGCTTGCTAACAGAACACAATAGCACTGGAGGAGGGTCAGTCAACAGAAGGGTCAGTGATGATGGGGAAAATGAGCTTGCTGGAAGGAAAGAAAATCGAAACATCTATGGCTTACCTTAGTCATACCACATTCTCAGGAGAGGATCCATTATGTTAGGGCTGGTTTATACAACACAGCGTGTTATTGTGTGTACACCGCTTGTGTATGGGTGTTTGGCATGAGAGTGCTACCGTCCCCAGCCATTCATTATTAAACCGGATCACAGTGCTTGCTTTTTTGTATAAACGTTATTGTAGTTCTATGTATTGCAGTACGTTGCAGCATGCTGTTGTGATTAGTAAAATGTTTTTATGTTCTTCGTTTTTCCCCAGCGTTCACAAACACAATGCTTTGGTGTGAACCAGGGGCAGACTGACAACTCATGGGGCCCCCGGGCAATAGGGGATCATGGGGCCCCTGTGTCCTTGCCCAAACTCAAAAAAGCCTATGAAAAAGGTACCAGGGGCATCTCATGGGGCCCCCTACTGACCCCGGGCCCTCAGGCAGTGCCCGAGTTGCCAAATGGTCAGTCCGCCCCTGGTGTGAACTGGCACAAAGACAGCAATAACATTTTGTGTGTCCTTGCATTGAGCCTGCCTTAATCAATACAGATCAATGCATTAGGGTGTGAACAAGCCTTAACCACTTGCCTACTGGGCACCTACACCCCTTTCCTGCCCAGGACAATTTTCACTTTGAATGACAATTGTGCGGTCATGCAACATTGTACCCATATGCAATTTTTAGCATTTTGTTCACACAAATAGAGCTTTCTTTTGGTGGTATTCAACCGCCACTGGGTGTTCTATGTTTTTGCATTATAAACAAAAAAAGAGCTAAAAATTTGAAAAAACATGTTTTTTTTTGTTTCTACTATAACATTTTGCAAACAGGACATTTTTCTCCTTCACTGATGTGCGTTGATGAGGCTGCACTGATGAGGTGGCACTGATGTGCGTTGTTGAGGCTGCACTGATGAGGCGGCACTGGGTGGGCATTGATGAGGATGGCACTGATTATGTTGCACTGAAATGCAGCACTGATGGGTGTCACACTGGGATAGAATGTCACACTGGGATGGGATGTCACACTGTGACAGCGTGAGGAAAGTGCTGCCAATAACTGGCAAATGTATTTACATTGTGATCTGCTGTGTCATTGGACACAGCTGATCCTGTGGTAAAAGGCTGCTGTGATTGGCCTTTTACCTCATCATGTGATCAGCTGTGTCCGTAGGACACAGCGATCATGGAGAGCACCGGGTGTGAGCGCCGCTGGGGGCGCGTTCTGGGAGGACCTCATATGACGCCCTCCAAGAACTGGACAATTGCGCTGTAGCCATCATTCTGCAAGTGGCTAAGGGCCCATTCACACTAAGAACTGCATGTGAATCACACAGGAACGCATTCTGAACGGCTGATATCGCACCACACCAAGGTAGTGCATGCACTACTTTTTTGAAACACACGGCAATTGGATCGCATGGTATTTTTGTACCATGCGATCTGATGCAGGCCAGCGCATTGTGTTTGTTACCTGCATTTTTGGTGTCATTAACTTTGCACTGACACCCACAGCAGATTGCAAGGACAGTGCATTTATGGTGCAGGAAGCCATATGGGAACTCAGCTTTCCCGCACTGCATTCTAGAATAAATAGGTTCTTAACCTCCTGGAGGGAGGCACAGATTTTGTGGACTAGGTTGGCGCTCTTTTCATTGATCTAATTTGTAAAGTTACTGAAAAATCAACTTGCAAAAAAGTCACAAATCACAACAAGAATCCCAAATATATGATCTCCAGCTATAGTGAGATCTATATGTGACTCTATGGCTGAATGTCAGCAAAGAATTTCTGTAAAGTGTCCAGGATGTAAAAAAAAAAGGAAAAAAAAAAAAAAAAAAAAAAAAAAAAAACCCAAGCACATAATAACCCAATTTCCCATGCCTAAATACTGCCTCATTATATTTAGGTGGGCAGCCATGCGTGCAGCGAGCGAGGGGCCTGGAAGGAAGGAGTTGAGTGTGGAAGCAGAAGTTGCCTCTGAGGAAGAAGCAGAGGACGTCTCCTTGAAAGAGGTTTCCAGAAAAGCGTCACAGTATGAGCACGGGACACGATATTAAAATCTGCAGCTCGTTAGGGATAATCTTGCATGAAAATAATTTGATAGGACTAAACGACCCCACAGAGGGAGGTTTATTTTACAGTCTTGACATAGAAAATGAACTATAAAAATTAGACTCCTTTTGATTGCACTTTTCCTTTTGTTGCAATTGAGAGGAATAGTTTTTAAAAGCCTCTTGTTCCCTGAGGGTTTTTTTTAAATATTTCATCTAAGCAGAATTATTTGCATTTTACATAAAGGAAAAACTGATGTAATTCCAGGAAAAAAAATACTTTTTTCTATTTCTAATGGGACTCCATAATCTTAACATACATATTTCAAAGAATAAAAAAAAAATTGGAGCCTCTCACAGCCTCTTTGTCCCACAGGAACCTTTTAAAAAATGTATTAGGGGTCACTGGGACAAAATTACCCACACATTGATGGCCAGTGGGCAGAATGCCCCTTACAGTGGTGGTCAGAATGCCACCCAAGAAAATAATCATTGGTGACATGCAACTGATGCTACCAAGTGACGCTGACCTCGGAACTATGCAGACACCATCTAATGGGAGGTCAACCAAGCACATCCCCAACAACCCTTGGAGGAACCCTAGGTTTCCAAGAATGATCGAGGTGGACAATTAATACTGTAAAAGGCTCTATACTGTGAGGACCTACTGAATAAAAAAAACTGCTGGGGTGTTCTGTGACCCAACTTAAATTACTTCAACATATCCTTACAATGGCCAAAAGAATGATTGTGCGTTCCTGAAACACCCCCACACTTACTGTTACTCCTAACCTCTGTACTTTAAACTTTACATAATACTGACCCCTGCACTCTATGTTGCATACTACTGACCCTGCATTCTGCAATACTTAATCCTTACCTCTGCACTCTAGATACATACTACAGACCCTTGAACACTATGCTACATATGACCAACCCCTTCACTCTGTGTTACTTATACTGATCCCCTGCACACTCTGCTTTACTTACTCCTTAACCCTGCAATGTAATGTTACATACTAATGACCCCTGCACTCTGCTTTACGTACTCCTGACCTCTGCACTGTATATTACATACTACTGACCCCTGCACTCTGCTTTTACTTACTCCTGAACCCTGCAATGTACGTTACATACTACTGACCCCTGCACTCTGCTTTACTTACTCCTGAACCCTGCAATGTACGTTACATACTACTGAGCCCTGCACTCTGCTTTACTTACTCCTGAACCCTGCACTGTACGTTACATACTACTGAGCCCTGCACTCTGCTTTACTTACTCCTGAACCCTGCAATGTACGTTACATACTACTGACCCCTGCACTCTGCTTTACTTACTCCTGAACCTGCAATGTACGTTACATACTACTGACCCCTGCACTCTGCTTTACTTACTCCTGAACCCTGCAATGTACATTACATACTACTGACCCCTGCACTCTGCTTTACTTACTCCTCAACCCTGCAATGTACATTACATACTACTGACCCCTGCACTCTGCTTTACTTACTCCTGAACCCTGCAATGTACATTACATACTACTGACCCCTGCACTCTGCTTTACCTACTCCTGCACTGTATGTTACATACTACTGACCCCTGCACTCTGCTTTACTTACTCCTGAACCCTGCACTCTGCGTTACTACTAACCTCTGAACTCTGCATTTCATACTCCTGACCTCTGCACTCTGGTTATATACTACTGCCTCCTTCACTCTGCGCTACTACAGATTCCTGCACTGTCTTTTACAAATAACTGACCCCGTGTTACTTGCTACTGACTCCTGCACTCTGCATTACTACCGGCCCTCCCTGCACTCTTCAAACCTTCTTCACTTTTTAGAGTGCCTTGCTTTGTTATCCCTTTTAAAAAAGGGTGCTTCACCCTGGTGATCTTTGAGGTCTTCCATGCTGTTCAGGTAGGTCTCCACTCCACTTCCCCAAGTCTACGTAAACATAACAAAAGTGCAGTAAATAGTGAGGTGGCTGCATTAAAGTAGAACTACTGGCAAACATTTTTTTTTTTCATTTTGGACAGAATAGACAGGGATTAGAACCCCTGTCAGGTTTTTATTCCTGTCCATGACCCCCCTATAGGGAGTCTCACCCTATCTGTCGTATTTACTATTATCTTCGAAAGTAAAAGAAAATCCCAAAATTTGGAACAGAAATAGAGGGGAAATCGTCCTGGGGAACACTAGCTCTGGTGATCTTGGTGACACCTCAGGATTGCCTCACTTT